CGGGAAGTGAACTCCTCCACGAAAACACAAAGCACGTCAGAAGTTAACGTTCTTAAGCCTTGTCTTGACTTGTCTTTCAGTCCGTAACCTTCACGGTGTTAGATTTCAAGTCATTTACTTGCTTTCTGCCCATGTGTTATGAGAAGATAGCTGTTTTATAAATATGAGCTGTGGCAGCAATGTCAATAACTTCTATTCCGTTTCTCGTAGTAGGAAATCTATCTTGGTTTATTCTTAGGATCTTGGGAACAACGTGGGAATAGGACTTCTGTGTTACTGGAAGGCCAAGAAAGAAACTTCCCTTCTCTATATGCCTAAATCATGAGGAGGTAGAAATTTTAGAATTTTAGTTTTTAAAAATCTTAATAGGGAGGAAACAGTACATGTAAGAGGTGGCAGACCTTGGAACTTTGCATCCTGGCAGACAAATCTAATCTTTGTGCTTTATGATCTGACCAGGAATTTACTGTGCTTGAAATTTTGAAGATAATTTTGACCCATGTTCTTGAGAGAGGGGGTAAATGCTGCAGCAAAGGTAAAATATTACAACTTTTGCTTAAGAATGACCGTGTCCAATGCTTTGTTTCAGGATAACCAGGAAAAAAAGAAAGTACTCAACTCCCTGATGTCTGGTGCATTGGCTGGTGCTGTTGCTAAAACTGCAGTAGCCCCACTGGATAGGACAAAAATCATGTTTCAAGGTAAGTCCCGTTGGCTTTTGCAAAACGCTCTCACTTTATTGTTAGCAGAATCCAAAACAGCTTCTCTGATCTGTTCAGCCAGCCTGTTCTCCAGTGCTTTGCCCTCCTTCACTCCGCAGAGACCTGGCAGGATACAGACAGAACAGTGAGGTTACCACAATGAATTGAGTCTAAAAAACCTATTGTTTGACTCTTGGTAGGATTATTGCAGGTGTCAATCAGCTGTGCATCTGGCCTGTACTATTGGATCTAAGTCTCATGGTAGTCAGCAAGAGTTTTGCTATTTCAGTGCATTTCAGATGCACGTATTGCTGGTTAGAGACAGACGTCCGTGGCTCGTGAACGTTTGCTGGCCACGTGCGTTCCGTGACGGAAGGGGAGAGTTTTGGAGTGCCAGTAAATAGACACTGTAAAGGCAGCGTTTGAGGGGATGATTGGTAACACTTGGGATTTCTGTGTCTGTTCAGTTTGGAGAAATAAGGTGGGGAGGGGAAAGGAGCAATGTAAGGAGATGTGGTGACACTGGAAGGAGGTAATTGAGCTGTTTGAGTTTCTTGCTAAAGGCTGGATGCCAAGCTGTGCCTGCTCAAATGTATGCAGCCTTTTCTACTAAGGGTTGCATTGTATTGCAGCTGAATTGTTTTGGTGAGAGTTGAAGTTAATGATGAAAAGTGCTGCATAAGAGGCGTTGAAGCTGGCATACCTAGCTTTGTATTACAAAGCCCTTTTTGGAACCTGTAAAGTGTGTAACTGAAAATGAAATTCTTCTAATTGGAGTCGAAAATTCTCACGTGTTTGGCAGGATCTGGGATTCAGCCCCATCATGGGCTTTGTTCAGTTCCCCTGTTTCAGTGCCCGAACTGTCAGCTCCACTAATTGTCCCAAAGGGAAGAGAGCAGACAGTTAATACAGTAGACATTTGGTGAGGCCAAGAATTTTAAATCTGGTTGACGTCCCAGATTAAATGAATTGGGTAGGTTTAATCTAATCCCTGGATGACATTTAATTTTGAATTGACTTTCATTTGACATGATTCTCATTCTCAACGTAGCAGGGGCTGCGTTCTGGAATAGGAGGGATAAGAGATCAGGGAGTTCAAGCTGTGGGGAGCTAAAGCCTGGGCTGGCTGCAGCCTGGGATCGTATCTGTGACCAGATGCTTGTGCAGCGATGAGTACGCGCTGTGCTTTCTCTCCAGAACAAACACTGTGGTTCATCTAAGGTTGGAAATGTTAGGATCAGAGGCGAGGTGGAAGCTGCAGAACTGGAGTGAGTCAACAACTGTCTGTATAAATCACCTTTAATTTGTACCGGCCTACGTTTATAAAAAGACCTGTTCGCTTTGGCCCATTAAACTTGCTGCAAAGGCTGTGATTCAAACGTGGCCATTCTGACCAATTTCTCAGTGTCTAATGGATTTCTTGGGCTCTTGCCCTCCTAAAGGCTTTTACTCTGGGGTCTATTCCCTGTCTGTGAGGAGGGAAAGCATCTTTGGGTCATATAAGGGTAGGAAGGTTGTCCCTTGAACTAGAGACTGAAGAATTTTCCTATGGAAGAGGAAAAAGACCTCTTTTCCATTCAGAGCTGCAATGGGTTATTGAGGTGTTTTTATTTCTTAAAAAAAAAAAAGTGTTGAATTGCATAAACGAATAGCGTGGTGAAAATGTATTTGCATGGGATTGTTTGATACACTTGAGAGGTTACAAGTCTCAAAGGAGTTTGAAAGAAACTGCAATAGACACTTAATTGGAACCGTGTTTCATTAGCGTTGCTGTTGGGGTTTAGCCTGGGTTTCCTTCCTGCTGTAGGAATGTTACAAAACAGAGCTGCTGTATGCCGAATAAATCTTGCTTCCAAATGCCTTGTGTATTACATAGTTAAAGAGATGCTGTCAGTTTGAATGGATGCAAGAAAAGAAACTGAGTGTTCATTTGAGTTTTGCTAGGATGAAACCATTCTTGCGTGCAGCCTCACTAAACAGACCCGTTCTTTGCTGGATTCTGGCATTAGGCTGGAAGCTGTGCATGGAAATGCTCTGCTAAAATAAGTGGTTGGTGCAAGGTTGGGGGTTTTTTTATTTATTCATTTATTTTTAGCACTTTAAGAATGTGACAGAAACTGAACGTTTTCATAACAGTAGGTGGAAGAATGAACTTAATGTGCTAAATAGAGTCTGGGAGCACTTACCAGTGGAAAGTCTTTGTTTATAATAAAGAAGCTCTATATTCTCTTGCATTAATTCTTTTGCTTCTATCTTTATCCCTTAGATAAAATGCCTGTATGGTTTATTTGATCCATCTAAATATATTGCAAGACCTAATGCTCATTTTTTCTTTTTAGTGTCTTCAAAAAGATTTTCTGCCAAGGTGAGGTGATGTGTCTGTCTCCCGTTGACCTGAAGTGTTTGATTAATGGTAGTAATAGCCCTAACAGCATCTTTTGTTTGTATTTATTTAACTTTCTCACCTGGCTTTTATTAGCAGCTCTCATAGTGAAAGAGCACAGAGGGAAAAACTGGAAACAGTGTTGTTTGTAATGCTCCCTGGGACAGTGCTCTTTCATGTTCATGTTTTTGTCCTGTGCCTAGCACAGAGGAGCCTTGGTTCCTCCTTCATATTCCAGGTTCTACCTGTGACATGACAGGGAATGTTGTGGCATGGCTCAGGGCTTTGTTTTCCTGGGCCTTCTCCTCTAGTGGTTGTTTTCTTTCCCCCAACCACCGTTGGAGTTGTTTCTGAGTATATAGGAAATTTGAATTTGGGAGCTGATGGCTATCATGGCTTGCTGAATGTTTTGTTGCATGTGCATTCCAGCTGTTCCGTGCATGCTGCGCTAATACGTGTAATCCAGATGGTTCTGACTTACACTAAGAAGATTAATTTGGGTTGAGAAATGGCTTGTGCAAACAGCAATCCAGCTCTGTGCCTTGCCCTCGGAGGGAAAATTAAGATGTCTTGAATGTAAAACTCCGTATTCCCAACTCCAGTTCTCTTTCACTCTGATGTATCTGATTCAGTCTCCCCAGAGAAGATGTTTTAGTTGTCTTACTCTGGAGTCAGGGTTGTGAGTGTAAACAGCTGATATCAGCTTACCATGGTTGGGGTGGGAAGGAGGATTTGGAGAGGTTAAGCTATAGGGTCACCTTTTCCCCCTCTATTGTTTGGACTCCCTCTTATCATGATCTCCCTGCCTGACCTTTGATCTGTTGCCTGCAGGAAGCCTACAGGCTGATTTATCGCACCTACCTCAACGAAGGCTTCTGGAGTCTCTGGCGGGGCAACTCAGCCACCATGGTCCGTGTGATCCCTTACGCTGCCATCCAGTTCTGTGCACACGAAGAGTACAAGCAGCTCCTGGGGAGTTACTACGGCTTCCAGGGAAAGTAAGATGCAGCGTGGCTTTGATCCTTGCAGAGGAGGATGGAGCAGTTTGTGGGACCGTAGAGTGTAGGGAGGGAGCACGTCTCTCTGCTTTGTGCAGGGCTGCTGAGTTGAAAGCTCTCTTGGTACAGAGTTGTGCCCCCCACTCGTGATGGCTTTGCAGGACAGGGTGTGTGAGGGGGCTAAGCAAAGGGCTGGGCTTCTAGCCGTGCACAGGAGAGATCTCTGTGAGAAGAGGACCCTGTCTTCTAGAGGCGTGAGCAAGAAGTGGCCTAGACACTGAGTTAGCACTTCCCTGTGCTGAGAGTGGGCAGGCAAAACAAAGGGGTTTTCTTTGCAGGAGGAGCAACAAGATCGAGCCTTGTGCTGTTATCTGAGCTGTGCGTGTGGCCTGAGCCTCTCGCTCTTGGGCACGTAAAAGTCGGAGACACCCCAAGTCAGGCTTGCTGTCCTCAACGGAGATTTTCTCTAAGCCTGCATCTGTAATGGCTGTGGCAACCCACAACTGCTTCACACACCCCACACCCCCCCGTCTCTTCAGTACACAGGCAGGGAAGGGATTCAGTAGCAGCTAGAGTAGAGCCATGCTCAGAAGCCACATAGTATTTCCATCTCCAGGTGATCTGTTTGGTCTCTTCTCTCACCTTACTTTAGAGCGCTGACACCCTTTCCTCGATTCATTGCTGGCTCTCTGGCAGGCACAACGGCTGCCATGTTAACCTACCCCTTGGATATGGTCCGTGCTCGAATGGCTGTCACGCCGAAGGAGATGTAAGTGCCTAACAAAAGCAAGTACAAGCACCACAAACAAATGCAGAACTTTCTTTTAAGGTCAGATGACTTTATTCCCATTTTCTGGGTCACTTCTTGCTCGGAGCCTTTGGTGTAATAAATTGCTGGGGTCTGAGCACTGATTAAATGACCAGAGGCCTGGTTAGTCCAGAGGCTGGAAGGAGATCGGTATGGGAGGACCTCACTAGTCAAAGCTGTGTGTTGGCTCTGTAGGAGGCCAGCTGGCACAGTGCCTCTGGAAGGGAGCTGACAGACAGGCTAGCGTGCTGTGCTAGGGCTGTAGGAGAGCTGGTGACTGGCTTCTCCATTTCAGGCTTCTGAAATCCCTTCTGAGCTGTTCGATGAGCTCAGAGCTGAATTAATTAATTGCTGATCCTTCAGAAAGTCCTGTTGGAAATGTTACTGGTGTATGCAGTGGCTAACTGGCACAGATTTGCTTTTCCCATGTCCACATGCTAGGTACAGCAATATTGTTCATGTCTTCATCCGAATATCCCGAGAGGAAGGACTGAAGACGTTGTATAGGGGATTTACACCCACCATCCTTGGAGTGATTCCATATGCTGGTCTTAGCTTCTTCACCTATGAGACGTTGAAGAAACTACACGCAGGTAAAGGCAACGTGGTTGGCTTTCAGGTGAAGTGGTGTAAGCTTCTGGCTAACTTGACATGTTTGAATTCAGTGGTGCAAGTCCTTTTCCTGGCCTTGAGGCCAAAGTTCTGTGCTTGAAGAGGATGCCTTGTGCCTCCCTCTCTCTAATCCCAGACTAGGAAGGAGGCAAGCTGCAGAAATCAGTATTTCTGTCTTGCAGAGAAACGAGAAGGTGCAAGCCCTGGCTGCAGAAGGACTTGGTTATGTAGCAAGTCAGCTAACAACCATGTTGGGAACAAAATCTCTGGAGCTCTCCTCTCTTTGGCTCTCAGCCCACTTGACCTTAATCACGTGTTTATTACAAGAAGCTTTCTACACTCTGCTACTTTCTCTTTCCCAGATCACAGTGGGAAACTGCAGCCATCCCCTCCGGAGCGGCTTTTGTTTGGTGCCTGTGCAGGCTTGATTGGCCAGTCAGCTTCTTACCCCCTGGATGTGGTTCGCCGACGAATGCAGACGGCGGGGGTTATGGGACACACATACAGTTCCATCCTTCTCACCATGCAGGAGATTATAAGAGAAGAGGGACTAATCCGTGGCTTGTACAAAGGACTCAGCATGAACTGGGTCAAAGGTCCAATTGCAGTGGGAATAAGCTTCACAACCTTTGACCTGACGCAGATCCTTCTCCGTAAATTACAGCACAGCACTAATGTTGAAAGGTAGTAGCTTAATCCCCACAGCCCTTGCTGGGGAAAAGTACAACATGTGTAGAAAGAGCAATGCTAGCGTTCCCTCACTTTGTACATGCTCTCCCCCAGCTGAGAACTTACCTTTCTTGTCTATTTGTTTGTTTGTTTTTCTGTTGTTGGATTTTTTTTTTCTTTTTAATGAGCCTCTGAGTTACTTGGAAACCTCAACCTGAAACTAACTTTTTCCTAAATGAAATTCTTTTTTACAGTTCTGCAGAACTGAGTCCTCTAAAGTAGCTGCCTCACCCTTCTGGATTACTCTTTGATACCAGGAGTGGAGCCTCTCAAACAAACGTGTGCTGCTGCTGGCTCCTCACCTGGTCTCTGGGCAGATAAAGCGGTGAATGATGAAAGAGAGGACTCGGTGCTGTTGGAGTGAACCCCTGAATCTGGGAAGTGACTGCTGCTCCTCGTAGGCAGTTTTGAGTTACTGAACATGTGTTAGCTGGAGGCAGTCTGCCAAGTGCAATATTCCAGTTAGTCTGTAGGGAATGCCAGATTCCTCTGACCTATAAGCATCGGTCTCCATAAAACAGGACACAGCAGGATTTAACAGGTCCAGGTCACTTCTGTTGTTCTGGAAGATGAATGTGAGCTCTGGCTGGAAATGCTGCCCTTTTTCAGACGTTCTTCTCATTTCTGGGTTGAGTTGCATAAAATATCCCTTGCAGTGTCCCTCTGAGATTACCAAAGACTGTAGACAGCGGGGGAGGAAAGTTCTGAGCGGTTTTGTAAATCAAATTCTCATATTTGTCGTCAGTGTTGTTGAGTAGGGGCTGTGCCTGGATTCACAAACTGGATTGAATCAAAGAGCAGTAGTGCTTTCGGGCTACCCAAACCCTTCTGTAGTTGTCCTGGTCTTAAAGGCAGTGTTCTTCCGAGGGATTTGGCAGACTGTAGTGTGGTCGTGACTTAACTCCTCAAATTTGAAGTATGTAACACTTCCTTTTCTAGTGCATTAAGCAGTTTTATGCTTCAGTATTATTGTTGCCGCTTTATGCACGAGGCAAGAACAAACACCTCGGACTCACACGTGATGCTGATTTAGCTGTCCTGAAAGGCTGCTCACGTCTGGTGAATGCAGCCGAGTAGTTGACCCGAGCTGCCAGCCCTGCATCTGAACAATTTTGTTGTCTTTTGGTGCCTGCTGTGTAGGTTGTGTCACCTCTGTTCGTTAGTCCACACCTAAGCCCGCTTGCTTTTATTCCTAGAGTTCTTCTGGACCAACTGAGTCCTTGGGAGAATGAGCACCACAGTCAGTATTGACCCCTCAGAAATTTTATATATATATATATATATGGTGCCAATCATTTTCAGTTGCAATTTGAAAATTAATGGTAAAGTACCTTTCAGTGTTTCGATTTCAAATCAGTTTTCAGGGAGATGGAGATTTGGGGGTAGTTTTAGTTTATGTTCCATTCCTATGTTAAATTTGCAAGAGAGGTCAAAGCAAACTTTAGACTTCTCTGAGAATCAGATTACATAAACCAAGATTAAAAATCCCTTTTTGGCCGATAGAGTCCGTAATGTATAAAAGAAGACTAAGACATAATTTAAAAGCTGTCCTTTTCTGCTGTATGTATTTTAGCCATTGTAATCTGAGCCTTGTGTCACGGCTTTATTAATGGGAATGGAGGTAATTGCACAATTGGTAGAAATAGCTTTCTCCTTTCTTTTGTCTTTGCACTTGTTCTTTGGAGCATAACTTGCTTCTAATGCCAAATATTTCCCTAGGAATCGAGCGCCTACACTTCCGTTTTGTGGACGTGGCAGAGTGCCAGCATACTGAAGTATTAGCTTGCGTTGTTCCCGGAGCACGTGGGATTGATCATACTTTAATGGTTGTGGATGGGCAGGGTAGTAACCTCAGTAATTTCTGCCTCCAACCCCACAAATGATAATTTGCATTGTGAAACTTGACTGCAGTCACTGATATACCTTGTAATTAAATGTTGGGTGGTGTTGTTTGAAGAGTCTTTAGGGAGGATGGCCGTGAATTCTGTGTGTTTCTTGCTCCCGTGGCTAATGGAAGATGATCAGCTGTTCTCTTCGTTTGGGTGACATTTTGTTTAGTCCTTTGCGAGAGCTCTAATTTCTTTTCTCCAATGGAGAAGCCAATTATTTCTGCTCTTGTCTTTCTCTTCTCCGGCCCAGTGAGGAAATCCTAAGGCAGTTGCATCCCGCCCCAGAAGCGAGGTACAGACCGGCACTGGGTGTGTCAGCGGGTCGCTCTGTGTACGTGCCTCTGTGTGTGTCACTGTGTGTCCAATCCAGGCCGAGGCCTCCCTGCCCAGCCGGTGGGTGCTGTGTGAAGACAAGAGGAAGCTGAACTTTGGCATTCAAGTTCGAGCGGGCTCCTTGGCTCCACAGTAGGTCATCTGGGAGGCAAGTGCAGCAGACCTGGTCTTAGGAGACGTTGAGCATCACTGAACCTTTATGGCAGCAGAGGTGGCTTAATTCCTCCTGGGTCCTGACTGAGAAAGGATTTACACTGGATGACTAGCCTCTTGTTTGGGACTGAGCGGGAGGGCAGGTCTGCACAGGGTGCTTGTGCCAGTGGATTAAATGGACAGGGAGCCCAGGGACCCTGAGCTGAGAAACAGGACCTGCAGCACAGCCTGACTTGGGAGCCTTGGGCTCAGATAAGTTGTTCCTTAATTAGCAGCTCCACCTGATCTTAATTAAATGGAAATTTAGCCAAACATCTTTTCCCAAGTCTTGCAGGCTGTTTGTTCAGAGACAGATCTTTGAATTCAATCTGTAATGGTTTTGGTCCTTTTGTTTCTTGCGCAAAAGTGTTCAGAGTAACTGTGTGTTATTGCTTTGGGTCGTTTTAAGTAGCTTTTAAATTTTTTTTTCCCCTTCTCTGATTTGAATGTAGAAAAGGAGAAACAGAGTGTTCTCTTCCCTTCTCTTATGTCTCAATTCATGCAAGGATTGTTCCAGATCTCTCTGCTGCCTGGAATGAGTGCCTGAGGAGTTTGGGGCATGCTGATTGGGAAGGGGAGGGTGCCTGTGTGCTGGCCAAGAAGGTCCATTGCCTTTAGCTCTGAGAAAGGAGACAAGTCGAACAGGAATAATCTGTAGTCCTTATTTTCTGTAGAACTTTCTTACTACCACACATTGCCCAATTCTCTTTTATTCTTCTCAAATTCCTTGCTTTTATTTTCAAGTCATGTTCCTCATTGTTCCTTAATGCGCTACCGCCAAACATTGATTTGTGCTTTTTTTTTTTTTCTTGTCTACTCTCCCTCCCTTCCTGCTTCTGCACCTTTAGTCCCGCACTAGCACTTCGAGAGAATCAGGTCCAATGAAATGCATCCAAAATGACAAAATTCCAGCTTTGATAGCAATGCCCCAACAGCCCAACTGGGCTTCCCACTCACAGGCAGGGCTGCTTGGGTGGGGGCGCACACACAGTTAAAGTCACTGGGTGACGGGGCAGAAGGTTTTCTTGAAAATTCCTTGAACCACTTGTCCAGCCTAACGCCTTCACTTCTCCTAGCACTTCACCCTCCCAAGCTGTGAAATGCCGCTGCTGCTTGTCGTCTCCTCTTTCGGTACCTCCGCCTGCCGCCCGCTTGCTCTGTGGGTCGCTCGGGGAGAGCTTGTCCTCCTGGGAGGCTCAGTCAGGGAACCTCAGTATGTGAGAGGTAGGACCTGAGCTGGCTCCTTGCCTTGCCCCGCATACCCCGTGCAGACCTCTGGCAGTTCCCCAGAGGGCAGAGCTGCCGAAGAGCTGGGTGGTGGTTGGCAGGCCCGTGGTGGAAGGGTCAGCAGAGGGGTCGCAGCCTCCTGAGGCGTCACGGAAAGCCGTGGGGTGGGTCCTGTGGGGTGGCACTGGTACTCTGTGGGAGCTCTCCCAAAGCAGTTTCATAGCTTCTGTGGAAAATTAGTGGTACTTCTGTTAACTTCTTAGCACCTTCTGCCTAGAAGGAGTCGAGCACTATCATCTTCACCCTCTGGTGTCTTTAACACAAAAACCAGGTGAGGCAGGAAAGGAAACTTTGAGCAGAAGCACTGTGGCAATGCCGAGCGAGCCTGGTGCCAGTCCTGGGCGGGCAGAGGGGGGAGGAAATGCCGTGGGATACTTCCCGTGTTTCCCCAGTACCCAACTGGGGCTCTGCAGTACGTTATGGACCCTCCCCACCCGGGCTGGGCCAGAGGAGGAGGTGGCCTTCCTACAAAACAGCCTTTTTATTTTATTGTAGGGGCTGATTCCTCCTGCTCCCCCCGTCTCCCCCTTCAATGCCATGCGATGCAGGGTTTCCCAGCACTGTTCACTGCCTGTGTGGTCTATGCATATATTAGCACAAACACTGTTAAATGCCTTTTGTCAAGACGTGTCCTCACCATCCATGTGTGCGTGTATGCGTGTGTGTCAATTTTGACTGCTTTTCTTGGATCTGGAGTTCTATTTTATTGCAGTGAAGACACTTTGTTATATAATGTTTATATATTTTAAGATTTGTGCCAAGAGAGGATGTATATTTAATAAAAAATATAATTGACTTTGCAGGCTCTCTGAGGTTGTTTCCTATTAGATGTTGCTCATGAGAGTGAGGGGCCTGGTACAGCTGGGTGGATTTATGGAGGGACTCAATGTGGGGGTGTCTGGGGGGGGGAAGCTTGTGGCTGGGGGTACCTCTTGTGGGGCTCACTGTGCCCCCAACCACGCAGGTCTCCTGCGCACAGGAGCACCCTATGAAGAGAACAGGTCTTTGGGGGGAAGTTGGAAGAAACTTGAAGGAAGGTAGGCAGTTCTGGCGATGGTTCAGAGACCTGTGGTTCCTCCTCCTGCGCTGTCCCTGTCCCCAGCGCCGCAGTGTGGGACGGGGACGGGTGTGCAATGGCAGCAGGTGGCACTGTCGGCTTAGGCATGGCCCGACGGCTTCCCCCAAGTTGGGGACCCTAGGCTGCTGCTCAGCCCTGCTTTGCTCTTGGGGCCTTTCAGCCTTAGTTCCAGGTCTAGTGGGGATGTGACACTGTGGCACCCGCGAGGGCAGGACGGCCTCAGCAGGGAGGACGGGTCCAGCCCTCCCGGAGTAGCCTCCCTGCAGCCCAGTGCTGCTCCCTGCGCCATGGGGCAGCGCCGAGGTCCTGGCTGCACCCCAAGAGAAGCTGAGGCTTGTGCCAAACCTCTCGGGAAGCAGCAGAGCTGGAGAACAATCCCCAGACCAGCTGCTTCAACCCCACCAGCTGAGGGTAGCACCCCTGCCTTTGCCTTCCTGGCTCATGGGTGCAGGGGAGTAGCCCCCCAAGTTGGTTTGGGCTGCCAGCCATGGAGTGAGCTGTCATTATATCAAAATGTCACATAAATTTTCTATGATATCAAAATAGACCTGGAGCAGCAGGAACAGCTCGGCAGGGTGCAGGCAGGACAGAGGGCAAGGGGATCTCATTTTGGATGGAAGTGGGGTGGGAGGGCACCGCTCACTTCTTCCTCCCTGCCAGGGCATGATGGAAAACCTCCAGGAGCTGCTGCCATCCAAGGCCTCTCCCCAGCCCGGGGTTTCTTGCCAAATGTGGCTCGGTGGCCACTGAAGGAGCACTGGGGGAGCAGGGATGATGCCAGGCCAGATCCGGGTCACAGCAGGGCCTCCTGGTGCCACTCTGAATCCTGGTGCCAGCAGAGCCGCTGCAGCAACAAACCGTCTTGTTCCCAGCTGCTCCCCTCGGACGAGAGCCTGAGTGTGGCCCTTGGCAGAGCCCAGCCCATCCTCTAAATAAAGCGAAGATACAAAGAGTAAAAATAATTCTGGGGAGAGGAAGATGGGGGGTCTCTTTCATTTTATTTGATGTGGCCCAATTTCAGTGCCTGTGGATCTGTCTCCTGCTCTTGGCTAGTCTATCAGTCATTGTCCCCGCCTGAGAGGGTCACGTCTGGGCAGATCTCGGGGGAGGAACTGTCTGCATGTCTGAATGCAGCACAACCCCAGGCCCTAGCAACCGTCCTCCTGCCGCGAAGGCTTCCCTGCCAGCTCAGCCCCCGGCTGCTTCCTCCACATGCTTAAGGAAAATTAGATAAATGAGCCATCAAGGCAGTCGGACTAGCTTTTAATGGGACGGCGCAGGCTGGAACAAGTCCCTTCTGCATCCTGGCCCGGGGGGAATCGCTGCTTCCTTGTGCCTTTCCCCACACGTCGTGGTGATGGTGCTGCTGGAGCCAAATTCCTCCTGGCCTTTGGCTGGTTAAGGGTGCTGCTCTGGGCTCTGGTTTCCCCAAGTTGTTTGCAAAAGGGAAATTTCCCCATAATTTTCCACAAAAGGGCTTTTGCTGTGTCCCAGGCTCGGGTAGTCGGGGACCAGGCAGAGGAGGGCTGTCCGGATTAGCCCTGTTAACACCGGGCAAAGGGCTGCCTTCTCATCTCAGCCCTTAGCAAGAGGGAATTAAGACCATTACAAGGCTATCAAATAGGATCAGAGCCCCTCTCCCTTTCTCTGAGCAGCCCAGACCTGCTAATCCTTTTTCATGGAGCTGGACCAGCACCCACCGTGCAGTGGGGAAGAGCTTGGCTGAGCTGGACAAGGGGCTGTGTACCCCGTCCCCCTGCAGCACTGGGCTGTCAGCCCTGGTGCCATCCCAGCGCCAAGGGAAGGGCCAGGAACAGGCGATGAATCGGGCTGGGATAGGGTGAAGGTGTTTTCTCCTCCTCGAGGGTGCTGAGGCCGGGCTGAAGGGTTGATTCAAGGGCTCAGCCTCTTCCACTTGCCCGGTAACACCTCCAGGGTTTTGCTGCTCACCCGCCCGCCCCAGGGCAGCTGCCCTCGTGCAGTCAGACCCCTTGCCCTGCTCGAGGGGCTGCAGAGCACACACAGAGCAGCGGCGTGCGGAGGGGCAAACGGACTCTGGGTTACTCATTTATTTCTAAAACAGCCAACAGCCGAGGCTGTTGGGCCTGAGGATTTCACACGAAGCAGAGGGATGACCCCAAGGAGCTCTGACGCAGCTGGCCAGAGCAGCAACCCTACAAAAATACACTCGTCCTCAGCCAGTGGAGGCAAACGTGGCAGAACAAACCACAGGCTCTGTGCTGGCAAGCCAAGCTGCCCGGCCAGCCCAGCTCTGAGGTCTCCACCATGCAGGAGCCATCCCCAGCACCTCCCGCCCGGGGCTGGCAGGAGCCGCTGCCCCCAGCAGCAGTGTCCCCGTGTGGGGTCAGAGCAGGCAGCAGCAAACCCGGCTGTGGGGTTTCAGCTGTTCTGTCACCACACAGGGCCAGGAAGGGGACGAGGGGCTGGTGGGACAGAGCCCGGAGTGGCAGCGGGGCGAGGGCAGGCACGGTGGTGATCGGCGGCAGGAGCAGGCGATGCCCACGCTGGCCTGGACGCATAAAACCCATCACGCCAAGAGCTGGCAGCAGAAACATCCCTGCGTGCGTGTCCACGTGTGCCACCAGCACGTGCAAAGCGGGAAACCAGCCACGGCAGGAACAAGGGGACCAGCGGCCAGGCCCCTGATTTGCTCCCCAAAGCACATCCCAGCTCCCTCCAGTCTAGGAGGTTGCCAGGTACTGGTGGAAGTAGAGGCCGAAGAGGCTGGTGACCACCTGGCAGGCGGCCACCCACCAGGTGAGGAAGGCGAAGAGTCCACGGAAGAAGAGGGGGGTGAAGATGCTGCCCAAGATGCTGGTGATCTGCTCCACCGCCACACGCACGTCCTCCTTGTCCACACCGCCGGGGCGTGGCAGTGCTGCCGTCGCTGCCGGAGGGAGGGGAGGGGGCTCCGGGTACAGCCCCCACGAGTAGTGCCCTGCGTGACAGAGGGGACAGGTCTGTGGGGGGTCGGTCCCCGCACTGCAGCCCCATCCCCGTGCTACAGCTGTGCTGATGGCTGAGTCCCAGCGCGCTCGCTGCACGCATCAGGCTCACGCCAGCAAAGCAGGTCTTGAAAGCCTGGGGACGCTGCGGGTGCTGATGGCTTGAGGATGACTTACTGGTCTCATCCTGCCCGTCCCCAGCCCCCCGTGTTGCCCACATTCCCCCCGCTGCCTCCTCACCCAGCGTTTTGAGGAGCAGCGCGCAGTGGAGGGTGAGGATGACGGGTCCCAGGTACTGCAGGCTGACCACGGAGACGTAGCAGTAAATCCTCGTGATCTGTGGGCAGTGGGGATCAGCAGGGAGGCAGTGGCCATGCCCGGACCCCCGCTCCCACTGCAGCTCCCGTGGCCAGACCTTGCGCTGGATCTCCAGGACGGCGATGCGCCCGGCTTCCTTCCTCATCTGCTCCACCCAGCGCTCGGCCAGGCCCAGGTACGCCTGGAGGTGATGGCGGGTGACGGCCAAGCGCAAGAGGCAGAGGCCGACGATGGTCCAGAGGCGCGCGGTGTTGTAGGCAGAGTCTGACATGCTGGGACAGGAGGAGGCTGTCAGGGAGATCTTGGGGTCCAGACACACCCCCACCCCTGCACCTCAGAGGGTGTCTGACAGGAGACGTGGTGGTGGTGGGGAGGATGGAGGGGGGGGTACTGGTGGTGGAGGAGGTGGACTGGTGCCCCCATGCCTCAGTTTCCCCTCAGAGCAAGGCTGCAGGGTTGGACCCACTTACATCTGCACCGTCTGCTTGCCCATGGGTGCATGGAGCAGGAAGTCCCGCGAGATGGGCTTGATCCACATCACCACCACCAGGACGGGTGCCAGGAAACTCAGGTGGAGCAGGACCCTGCAGCAGAGCTGTCAGAGACCCCCCTGCAGCCCGCTGTGCCCCCCTGCTCCCTCCATCCCATCATGGGCCAGGACCGGTCCTCACACACACCCCCAACCCCTTCTCCCACCACTGAACCTCCTCACCACCCTGCAGTCATGGAGCCGGGGGGGGTCCTGGCCCCCGAGGTGCCCGCACCGACCCCCTCGCCTCCTTCCCCACACAGATTTCACCCAACTGGGTCAGGGGCTTGTCGGCCGCCATCCGGAGAGCGTCGAGGTGTGTCTGGGCTAGGCGCAGCCCTGGGAAGGTCAGGCAGGCGCCCAGGAAGGAGCACAGGGCCACCAGCCCCAGCTTGAAGGCCAGCTTGGCGAGGGGAAGCCTGCAGAGAGAGAAGGTAGCACAGAAGGGAACGGGTCGTCCTGTCCCCAGTGAGCCCCAGAGGGATTTTCCACCCTAAACTTTAAAAAAAACCTTCCTGAAACCCCCATTTCCCACCCTGCCCAGTCATTGACTCACGTCCACTCCCAGCCCCGCTGCTTCAAGATGCTCTCCAGGTTGCTGCTGACACCGGCCAGCCCTGCGGGGAGTGAGCCCCCGTGAGTGGGGTGCCCACAGCCCCCAGGGACCACCGGCCTCTCCCTGTCCCCCCTCACCCACCGGGCTCAAGGCCAAACTCCAGGTAGTCCTCACGGATGATCAGGGCCACCATGGCAAGGAGGAGGAAGAAGAAGGCGAAGGTGAGGCAGACGGAGCGCTCGCCCCCCTCCTCCGAGCGGAAATAATGGCGCATCACCATGAAGAAAACCTTGCTGCAGGCAAGGGGTGGCCGTCAAGGAAACCGGGGGCTTTGGGACACCCCCCCCAAAAACAGTGGGACCCCCTTGCTCATTAGCACGTCGTAAAGCACTCCCATCGTTAGGCCACTGCCACCTTCTCTTCGAAGAGAAAAGAAGAAGTTAGGCACCTCCACAACTCATCAGTTCATAAACCCATAAATTTAAGTTTTCCACCTCAACTGGCTTTTGATGGAGAAAAACCAAGGATGGTGGGTTCCCTCCACTGCCCACCAGCAGCCTGGACCCGGCAGGTGGTGGCAATTGCACCCCGAAAGGCGGCAGAAGGATACACGGAGAAGACAACTGTCAGCAGGCACCAGAGCACCCCGATGTTGGTCTCCTTCTGGGGGTCCGCCAGGCAGTAGTAGCCCTCGGTGAGGACGTACACAGCGGTGGAGTAGACGGCAAAATCCACAAACCACTGGTACTCCAGGAAATAACGCAGCACTGGTGTGAGAGAGGGACATGTCACCACACTGTGGGGACACACGGGGGGGCCCCGAGGCCAGGGCAGTGCTGGACCCCGCGTGCAGAGGGAGCGGTGGGACCCCGGGGGGGGTACCGAGAGCATCCACGGCGGTGATGGGGCTGGTGTCCAGGCGGAGGTCGATGTCCCGGGGCACGGAGAGGGGCTTCTCATCCATCACACCGTTCACCCTCCTGCAAGGGAATGGCGGGCTCGGGACGGCAGGCAGGGAGCTGGCTTGTCCCTTGTGTCCCACGGTGCTGAAAACCTCTCACACAGGGTGGCACGTCCCCAGCTTGGGGCTCCCTGTCACCAGCACCAGCCCCGAGCCCGTCCGTGGCCAAGGCTGCCACTGCCGCATCTCCCCAGGGAAGTCCCGTGGCACGTCGGGACGACTCCCGTTATACCAAAACAAAATAATTCTCGTTTTAAATCCCACCCGCCCGGGCGGGAGCTGAGCTGACCTGTCCCGCTTGCTCTTGGGGCGCTGCTTGCCTGCCAGTGCGCAGAGCTCCTCATCCGAGGGGTGCTTGTAGCGGTGCAGGCTGGAGGGGAGCAGCGGGGGGGGATCAGCGGCGCTGGGTGTCCCCGAGGCCCCCCGGGGATAACCAGGTTGGGACGGGGGTCACGTACCTGCCGTTGCAGAGCAGCCAGCGAGCGAAGGAGCAGTGCGGGGCCATCTTCTGCATGACGCTGGCTGCCAGCAGGCTCAGCACCACCTGCACCCCCATCACCGCCTGCGCCGGGGACACCCTCAGGGCCCGACCCCGGCACCCGACCTCCCAGAGATGGCGGGGGGGGAGCTGGGGAGTGTGTGTGTGCCCCCCCGACCCCGAGCAACACCAGGGCTGTCGGCTTCCCCCAGCCCCTGCCCCTGCTACGGGACAGCCAGGGCACACGCACCCCGGGGCATGCCCCCCCAATCCTTCACAGACTGGCTGTGCACCCCCCAGGCATAACCCCCCCCCCCGGGCAGACACCCCTGAGCATGCACCCCCCAGGCATGCAACTGTCCAGGACACGCTGGGCAGGCACCCCCCGAGCACAGACCCCCCCTCAGGGCAGGCACCCCCCGGACATGCACCCCCTGGACGGGCACGGCCCGGGCATAACCCCCCCGCACCCCGAGCACGCCCCCCCGGGG